GCTGTCAATTCACGGGAGAGTCTGTGAAAAGTTAATTGGCACATACAGCAAATCCCACAATCTATACATGGTGCTTTTAATTTGGATAGGACAGATTATGGATGAAAGTTTGGTCACCTGCAAGGATCAGTGGGCTTTAACACATCAAAGCATATCAAAAAGCAGACGGCAGCGCTGAAACAACAAACAAAATGGATACAGAGGAGCATGTGATATGACAATGAGCTTCCAGCCGTGCCAGAGATGAGCCTGGAGAATACTATGTCGTATGGCAGGAAGGGTCATCACAATCTGGACAAGAAACTTTGTTCTCATATCAAAATGCCCATTGTGGTTAACATTCTAAATAACAATAATGGTAACAATAGCATAATCAACTATCGCAGCAAAAGTAATATAATATCAATGACAGCGTTAAGGAAATAATGGCAAAAGTTACAATAATAATAATGCAATGGACTCACCGAGGAGTCATTTACATTCATTGTCATGAACCCCTCTGTTTTCAAATGGATATACTTTAAATAATGTAGTTGCATCAATAACATCAGCAAGCAGTACAATATCACATATATTTGAATAAATGATTGTAATATCCTCATAGAACTTGCATTACATAAAGTAAATCTTATTTAAGGTTTAAAATGTTAATGTTAATTTTTAATATTTTTAAATCAGCTGGTTTCATTAAAATAACACCTAGTGATGCTGCCATGTTCACAAACATCCTATTGAAGGTTGGCAATGCTCTGTTCTTGCATATCATTTAGTTGGGGTTTATATTTACTTTAAATACTTTACAAAAGACTTATACATCTATGCGGCAGCAAGTTAGGTGGGTCTTCACACATCTCTGTGTTGTTCTGGGGCATGTTCTATCCGCATCTGCAGTACTGTGACTGAGCTTCTCACGGTAATCTAATGACCATCAGGAGCCACAAGAATGGTTTTCTACTTACTGTGCAGCTAATCAAAATGCCAGATAATGGGCATCCCTCCTACTGATGTTGGCTGTCATGGCTCACTTGAAGGGCTGGAACCAGGTTGTGGCAAGAGTTTAATCACTGACAGATAAACAAATGGGTTCATTTTTATGCCTGAGCAAGGCTCGATCTGGATCAGGGAGCTTCACTTGAGTTAGGATTTAATGCACTTTTTGTAGTTCTCCCAAAATGTTTTGCATGGTTTTTTTTACATTCAGCTGAATTTTAGCAGCTTCCTTACGCTTCCTGGTATATACTTGGCACTGGACCCAGAAGCTAGCTATGTTTACTGTGGTAGTGCTGTCTATTGCACTGATTTATAGCTTCCAGGGGAATCAGCCAGGTATGGTACATACTGTACATACTTACCTTGGTCCAAGTTGAACCAATGTAAATATATATATAAAAAAACCTATATCTGGTGTAGGCCTCTTTTGGGTTGTTATGAGAAATGAACCTACCAAAGAGGATATTATGCTAAAATTTTATGTAAATAAGAGAAAAAGCGCAATCACTAAGTGGAAGAGTGATTTGATAATAAAGTAGGCAATGCCTCCACCCAGGACAGGGCCTCCGTGAAGAGGGGGAATTGCCTTCCTGGGAATTTAACCAGCAATCTAACCAAGATAATTGGGAGCAGAGGAACTACTGCAATCAGCATATTACAATAACCATGCACACCACTATGTAAATATAACAAGCTTTATATAATAAAATGTTATTAATAGTAAATACACCCAATGTACAAACTAGAAATATCAACAAAGGGCTTCTCAAGTCCAGGTGGAATTGGTATAGGTACATATAGCTATTAACCTCTTCACGCCGGTCGCACACAAATGTGCAGCCTCCCGGCGTCTGGGCCTAGACTCCAAGCAGCCACACATTTGCGTGCAATTAACAAAAAAACATATGTGCTGAGACCATGCACCCTGTGAGCTCCCAGCACACATATCCAGTACTCACGGAAAGGTTCCGGTCTGCTCTTTCGATCGGGACCTTTCCCAATCATGTGGCCGCCGTGATGTCACATGATCCCTAAACCCCGCCCCGCCCATCCTGCCTCCCAGCTTCTGAAACTCTTAAAGGGCCAGGAGGCGCCAGCGGGAAGGGGTTAATAAAGATACTTCTAGATGAACATTGCAGCAAAGTCAGTTGATGAGGACCCTGAGGATAATCTTGATGAAGCTTCCGTCTTGGTGTCGAAGACCTGAAGACAGAATCAGCAATGATGAGATGCTTCAACTGCCTGGAACGTATCTTCTCACCAGTAGAAACCGTGGTGTGACACTGGAACTCAGAGTCAACCTATCTACTCTGCTTCTTAGACCCTTGTAGCTTCTAATCTGCCATGCAACTGGACCTCTAACCCTGGAGCTCTGAGCTAACATTAGCTATATAATCCCAGAGCAGAAGAAACAGATAAAACTAACAGAACAGGAGCTGCGAATAAACTCTATTGCAATAAACAGGTTCACCTACCAACATACAGCGAGGTCACCACTACACCTGCATATTGGGGTTGATTTAGTAAAACTGGAGAGTGCACAATCTGGTGCAGCTGTGCATGGTAGCCAACAGGGGCGGACTGACAACTCGTGGGGCCCCCGGGCAATAGGGGATCATGGGGCCCCTGTGTCCTTGCCCAAACTCAAAAAAGCCTATGAAAAAGGTACCAGGGGCATCTCATGGGGGCCCCTACTGACCCTAGGCCCTCGGGCAGTGCCCGAGTTTCCAAATGGTCAGTCCGCCCCTGGTAGCCAATCAGCTTCTAACTTCAGCTTGTTCAATTAATCTTTGACAAAAAACAAACAAACTGGAAGCTGTTTGGTTTCTATGCAGAGCAGCAGATTTTACACTTTCCTTACAGCTTTATGCCTGGTTCACACTAGTGCAGGCTGTGCGGCCCGTGTTTGCGCAGGTACAGCAGCCCATTTATTTGAGTGAATGAATGCATGCACCTTTTCTGAAATGCATCTGCATGGAAACCACATGGTCTTTTTGACCATGTGGTTTTATTGCGGTTCCCACACCTGTGATCGTGCCGCAATTGCACTGCGGGAGAAATTCTCTTCGCAATGTGGTTGCGGGTGTGGCCAGAGTGCAGGCTAGTGTGAACCTAGCATTAGTAAATCAGCCCCACAGTGTTACAGATCTGACTATCTGATATTGTGCATTTGAGGTAAAAACAACCAGAAAGATATAGAATACTTCTGTCATCAGTTTTTATTCTTTAGTAATACATAAATATATATATGTGTATATATACACTATATTGCCAAAAGTATTGGGACACCCCTTCAAATCGTGGGTTTCAGGTGTTCCAATCACCTCCATGGCCACGGGTGTATAAATTCAAGCACCTAGGCATGCAGACTGCTTCTACAAACATTTGTGAAAAAATGAATCGCTCTTAGGAGCTCAGTGATTTCATGCATGGTACTGTGATAGGTGGACACTGTGAAATTTCCTTGCTACTAAATATTCTATGGTCAACTGTTAGTGGTATTATAACAAAGTGGAAGCAACTGGGAACAACAGCAACTCATTGGCCATTGAAAATATCACTGATCATGCCAAAAAATGCTCTTTTATTGAAGGATGATGATCATATGAAACCATTTCATCATTGGCTTGGTATCAAGAGATCCCGAACTTTCCACTTCTTAATAAGTGATTTAACAATACTGATTGGCATATTCAAAGCTTTGGACACCTTTATATGTCCTTTTTCATCTTTATAAAGTTCCATTATCTTGTTACTCAGGACTTTTGACAGTTCTTTTTTGATCCCCATGGCTCAGTATCTAGCCTAGTCAGTGCTTCCATGTAAGAGCTAACAAACTCATTGACTAGTTATACACTGACACTAATTGCAATTTCAAAATCCATGGATGTGGAACATTAACCTCTAATTGTCATTTTTAACTCCTATGTGTCACCTTGTGTGTCTGTACCAAGGCCAAACATTCCAGGGTATGTAAACTTTTGATCCATGGCCATTTGGGTGATTTCTGTTATCATTATGATTTAAAAAGTAGCCAACAACTATTTGATAATAAATGGCTTTCATATGATCATTATCCTTCAATAAAAGAGCATTTTTTGGCATGATCAGTCATATTTTCAATATCAATGCCAAAATTTCACAATTTCTGCCAGGGTATGTAAACTTTTGAGCACAACTGTATGTATATATATATATATATATATATATATATATATATATATATATATGTACAATACTGTGTAAATGTTTTAAGCAGGTGTGAAAAAATGCTGCACATTAAGAATGCTTCCAGAAATAGAAGTGTTAATAGTTTATTTTTGTCATCAACAAAATGGAAAGTAAATGAACTGAAGAGAAATCCAAATCAAATTAATATTTGGTGTGACCACCCTTTGCCTTCAAAACAACATAAATTCTTCTACATACACTTGCACACAGTTTTGAAGAAACCCAGCACAGCATGTAGGTTGTTCCAAAACATCTTGGAGAACTAACCACAGATCTTCTGTGAAAATAGGCTACCTCAAATCCTTCTGCCTTATTATGTAATCCAAGAGAGACTTGATGATGTTGAGATCAGGGCTCTTTGTGGGCCAAACCATCACTTCCAGGACTCCTTGTTCTTCTTTACACGGAAGATAGTTCTTAGGATAGTTGTCCTGCTGCAGAATAAATTTGGGGCCAATCACACACCTTCCTGATGGTATGGCATGATGGCTGAATTTTTGAACATTGAGGACACCACTGAACCTGACCAAACCTTCAACTCTATTTGCAGAAATGCAGCCCCAAACTTGCAAGGAACCTCCACCATGTTTCACTGTTGCCTGCAGACACTCATTATTGTACCGCACTCCAACCCTTAGGTGAACAAACTGCCTTCTGCTACAGCCTAATATTTCAAATTTTGACTGATCGGTCCAGAGCACCTGCTGCCATTTTTTCTGCACCCCAGTTCCTATGTTTTCCTACATAGTTGAGATAACTTCTGGCCAGATGCCTTCAGACAGTAGTGGGCTGTACTTGGGTCCCACTGGTTTCCACCAGTTCTGTGCTTATGGCACCGCTGGGGAAGTAAGAATGGTGTGTCTTTCATCTGCTGCATTAAGTTTCCTTGGCTGACCACTGCGTCTATGGTCCTCAACATGGCCTTTCTTTTCTTAATTTCTTTGCTTCTTAAGCACATCCTAAAACCCCAGTCCACTTTGAAATCTTTTCCTGGGTGAGTCCTTGCTGATGCAGTAAAACTACTGTGTGTCTTGTTGCTGTGCTCAGTCTTGCTATAGTGTATAATCTGTGACATCCACAGCCTCACCTTAGTAGCAGAGTTTGACTGTTCCTCAGCCAGTTTTAAGCCTCTTACACAGCTGTTTCTGTTTCAGTTAATTACTGTTTGTCAACATACATATGAAATGTATTATCATTAGCATCTGCTTGGTATCATTGGTTAATTATACACCTGGCTATAATCCTGCAAAATCCCTGACTTTGTGCAAGTGTACAACATGTGCAAGTGTAGGAATTGATGTTGGTTGGAAGCCAAAGGGTAGTCACACCAAATATTGATTTGATTTAGATTTTTGTTCTGTTTGCTCACTTTGCATTTGTAAATTGATAGAAATAAACAATTAAAATATATATTTTTGAAACCATTCTTCCTTTACAGCATTTCTTCACACCTGACTGAAACGTTTGCACAGTACTTTATATATAATGTATATATATAAATTAGTTACAATAGGAAGATTGCTATTGGTTATTGCACTCTTCTAACTCATATTGCTCATTTCACAGCTTGTTTAGATACGCTTGCTGGATTTTTTACAGTGTTACACATATAAGAAGTCATTAGTCATTGCTTTGAGATGTTTCCACTCTGTGTCCTGGGAGTGCGTTTGTGAATTTGAGAGGACACATATCACTAATATGCCCTCCAGGTGGAGCCGTCTCCTCTTATAATGCATCTCCATGAAATTCTGAAGGTTCTGTTTGTCGGAGCGTGGAAAACTGAGGTAGGCATTTCATTCTTAATCTATACAAAAAAATGGATGTTACTCTCTCGAGACAAAATTAGTTGACTGTAATTACAATGAACTTTGCATTTCTTTTTGTGTTTGTTCTACAGAAGGGAAATCTATCACAACCAAGGAGAGCCTGGACATGATACTATTATCTTCCTTAATAAAGTCAGTGTCTGTATTTAGAGGACAGTTTCCAGTAATAGCTACTAATGCTTTCCAGATACATGCAGTTGTGCTAAAGTTACTCTATAAAGTTTGCTCAGTTTATTTGAATGAGTTCTCTTGAATCCAAGAGCCATAATCCAGAGAGAATTCCACATGAGGGATGGGAGAGTCTGCTTCCTGAAGGCTATACAGGATATTATTTTTGTGTATCCTAATGGCAATGGTATTCCAACTTTCATAGCAGGTGGCTTGGGAATCTTCTTCGTACTGGATTTTTTAAAATTGGGTATTCCAGAACTCCTCTCACAATTTCATCCAAGACTTTCAGAATTCCTCCCAGGATCTACAGAACTTCCTCTCACAATCCAATACAGGACTTCCAGAATTCCTGCAAGGACTTCCAATGGTGCTTGCAGAATTCTTGCCAAGACTTTCAGAGTTCCATGAACCGTCCTCCAACCAAAAGGATATTTAAAGTGAAAGTGCTATGAAAAATGACTTAAAGTCTCTGCCTTTGCCTCCACCTTCACAAAAATAATAACTTCTTTTTTTGGGTGGGCCTTGCTTGGTTTTTTGTTTTTTTCCAGTGGCACGATCCCCCCCCCACTGCCACTTGCCTAGGCAAGAATGACATGTCTTTCTCCTGCAGCCTCATAGGGTGTCCTCATCACATATCTCAGGAGGCTGCAGGAACCCATTCGCAAGGCAGCCAGAGGGTAGAGCTGAATTTCATAATCTGGAGCCTGGCTGCCTGAACCTGGAAGAGGCAACTGATTGAGGAGGGCCAATATGGGCAATATGGTGGCACATTATATAGAAACAGACAGAGGATTAACCAATGCTGCAAGATGACCTTGGATCTGTTGGACAGGTGAGTATATTTTGAAGAGATGTTAGCATAACAGGTAAGGGAGAGTGGGGGACGGGAGAGTAGGAAGAACAAAGTTCCTCTTTAAGTTCCAGCTTTTGAAGAGCTAGGTGCTGTGTCATATCACCAGCTATTCCTTGTGCAAAAGAGGACACTACATCCTTTGTGCCTTGCTTGTTGCTTACCTGGATTGTCCTGCTTGCCCTCTTGCCAGCTGTTTGTCCACCAACTCTGTCTGGACTTGACTATTCGTCTTGCCTGTTGTTTTCTAATGACCTCTATCTGGAACTGACTAGTCTCTTGTGTGCTGCCTTTCCATGACCTCTGTCCTGACTGGACTACTCTCTTGCTTGCTACCTTCCCATGACCCCTGTCTGGACCTAACTGTTCTCTTGCCTTCTGCTTGCCATGAACCCTGCCCAGATCTGACTAGAATTTCAATGTTAGTCTCCAGAATAAAAAGGGGGGGGGGGGGGAAGACATGCACATGGAATAAGCAGTCCACATAGTCTCTAGGCTGAATGTGGGATCAGGGGTTGGCGGAGGGTCTGAGACACCTGGCGAGCTGTGGTACAGTGAAGCAATGACTCTGGAGTGGAGGAGAAGGGAAACACAGTGCCTCTGAGTGTAGACTGTAAGATAT